TTGTGGGTGGGGGGGGGGGGGGGGTCTGTTGTGTTGTGTTGCATCCTAAAGGTGCTACATGATATTAAAAAAAGCTGCATATGTAAAGAAGATTTCACAGGAAGGGGCCAAAATGAAGTGAATCCAGCTTGTGCCAAATCCTCTAAATCCATTAAAAACAGTAAATGATGTTGGGGCTCGTTATGATATTTGTAGAATATGAATGTGTTTGTTTGTTAGAAGTAAATGATTGAGCAGACTAACCTTACTCCCAGAGTCTTTGGTCCCACATTCACCCTTATCGTACCACCACTTGTTTTTCAGCTTGTCTAAGATGCCTTGTTCACTGAGTTTCAACACTGCAAGGTTTACAGGAGTTCTTCACGAGGGGAAATAACATAAATAACATGGCACCATTATGTTATTTTATGTTATTAAAACTTAAACCTACCGAATATCTGTTAACCAAAGTGATACTGTAGGACACCTGGCCTTGTGCTGTTGATATCGTAGACAGCGAGAGAATAAGAGAGGGAGAGATGGAGAGAAAGGGAGGGAATGCAGGCAGGGCTAGCCTCAGTGTTACCTTCGACCTTTGACCTGGCAGTGCTACCTACTGTTATCGCTTTGAGTAATCGGCACTCACTGTTCCAACAGAGGCAGAGAAAGTAACCATGGTAACAGCCAAACAGAGCATAATTACAAAGAGCATTGGGCAGATGAGTTTCATTATTGTAATCGAGGTGTGAATGCAGCTTTTCTAACCCAGTATTCATCAAGCTGGATCTATCAGGAGAAAAAACCCTTACTTGACTAACAGACAAACAGGACCCAGCAGCCCAGCTCGATGATGTTACTATTCCTTCTAGGCATTTCGTTTTGTATGTTAGTATGTTATAGGCAGGACTGCTGGGAAACTCCGTTTCTTTTCCTTCTGCTGCTAAATGATGAGGGTCGTAATACAGCAAAGCAAATATGCCATACTTACCACTGTAACACAAGTCAGCTTCAGACATCGAATGGTTTGACACCTGCCAAATAATACCTTGAAAGAATGTGATACAGTTACGGAGAGATGGACCTATTGCTTGAGTACATTCAATTAGTATTTATGTGTATCTTGTTTATGAGTGTACAAACCTGTTGCACTGACTCCACAACGAGCTTCAAAGAACTCAGGATTGTCAAATCACCAACAGCTGGATCTATCAGTAATCCATGTATGAAAAAGAGGCCCTGATTCTTACATCTATAGCCACTTCCTACTGTATTGTGTTAGATTTTCACTACTGTTGCTGTACTGTATGTTTGCTATGTGAAGCTTTACGCTATACGAGTTGGGATTTTCTGTATATTTGCAGCGTACTGCAGTATATTGTTTTTAATTTTGCTTTGCGCTAATAGTATGGCATACTTGCTGTGTTTGCTGAATTACTCCATTCATGCATTTTGGATAAGATTCAGGTCAATAAATGAGGAACATGCAGTTGTGATGTCATAACAGACTAGACATCCTCCACCCAGCATGCTCAACTTATCAATGCATGGACTAGGCAGCCATTTTGGTCTCGGAGTTTAGAGCTCAGGCACAACTCATGAGCGAGATTTACTGCAGTGAACTCGCTTTTGAATACCAGTCAGGACTGAGTGCGGCTGCCTTGCCCTCATGATAGGCTGAACACAGGGTAACCATTCTGCAGGCACAGGTGCTAAAGAAAAGTGGCCATAAATTCACTGAGAAGTGTGTGCGACTATAATGAATTTGTGCTTGCTTGTTGTTGTTGTGTGTGCAGTGCACCCATATGCAGATGAATGTGTGCGTTTTGTGAGTCAACAATATGGCACCAGATCTTCCTCAACCTTTGATTTCTAGGATTAGAATTCTCACGTTTTCCTGTGATGATTTGTCCCTTCAGGACTGTCTGGCCCCAGCTGACTTATATTTTTCTTTAATTCCACCAACAAGGGAGCTACAGGCTTTTTCATGGGTTACATGCTAATTCAGGGAATAATCTGAGAAAGCTGGTGGCTCCAAAGGGATTTGCATACTTGAGGCAGGACGTTGGCCAAAGACCAAAAATGGTGTTTTTTCAAAAAATTAAAATTAAAATAAAAAAAAATGTCATCTGGCTGTTTGTGAGGATACCAAAGTCTTCACACTTCTCGACTATCACTAACAAAACATCAGACAACATGCCGTCCAAATGTTTGGCAACTCCATAGGCTTAGTGATTTGGACAATATCAGCATAAATCCTTGTCATTTGTGAAGACTTTGCAAGGGACAACACAAACTACAAAAAGTTTTTATTAACTAAAAAATATGATTTCAGAGCACATAGAAATATGACAGTTTTTTTTTTTATCTCTAAACTATGTTCTAATTGGTATGTTTGTGTCCTAACCTAATTGGCAATCAATCAGCTATTAAGGCGTGCTAACTTATTAATCTTAAAAAAAAAAAAAAAAAGTTAAATTTAATTCAGTAATTAGGCATCACTACTGACTATGGTGTTGATGTATTGCTATTAATTTGTAATCGAGAAAAACGTCATTGTTGCTGGTCTTCAATGATAACTGCAAGTTACTTGAATGCATTTAGACCAAAAAATAATATTTATGCTGATATTGTCCAAAACCCCATTTTGCTCAGGGCATTTCCAAACTTTTGGAGGGTATATTAAACTACAATGTAAACGCGTGAGCAACAACTACACTAAACTACAGCTCCAAAACTATTAAAGAAAGAGTTCACCCAAAAAATACAAATTCTGTCATCATTTTCTCAGCCTTGTGTCGTTTCAAACCCATTTGACATTATTTCTTCTGTGGAACACAAAATAATTTTTTTTTAAGAATGTTGGTAACCAAACCGTTTTGGTGACCACTGTATGGACAAAATATGTTTATGTTTCACAGAAGACAGAAAGTCACAGGTTTGAAATGACATGAGTACAGTAAATAATGACAGAAATTTCACTTTTGGTGAACTATCCCTTAAACAAACATCAAACAGGTTCAGCCAATCCTCTGTGCTTCAGAAAGGTAAAGGCACCTATTTTCCAGAGCAGTTTTGGTCTTGTTTGTGCTGTCTGTTAGATCCTCGTACATCTCTCTTTTTTTCTTTCTGCTGATAGCCCATTAAATCCTGGTGCCTGGTATACACAAACAGTACATTTTCTGATGATCTAACATTACAGATCAGAGAAGAGCCAGAGAGGGCCTAGCCTCTTCTACCTACCTACCTGCTTGTTTTACCACACAAACAAACCCTCGAGGTGGGTCCTAATAAGCTGCGCTCTTGGTGACCCTGACCTTACTCCACACATCCACCCACCCTAGCCTTTATTCCTGTCCTCCTCTGCTTCCTTTCCTCCATTAGCCAAGTAAAGGGTCATGTCTGATCACAGTTTGCCTTATTATGTAAGCTCCAAAAAATGTTACATTAGCAGCACTGACAGTAACTGCGGCCGTCGCTATGGTACTAATGTCCTTGGGTCATTAGGCTCAGTTTGCTCGTGTCCATCCCTGAGGGTCATGATACTTTTGTCGGGGGTCATAGGTCACAGCCTTGCCGATTACTCGTAGCTATGAAATGGTTGTTTGGGTGAGATTGAGGCTGACCTTCGAGTCCCCTCCCCCGCTGCCGCACTCTCCCTTGTCGTACCACCATTTATTTTTCAGCTTGTCCAGCAGGCCCTGCTCATTCAGCTTTAACACCGCCAGGTTTACAGCGCTTCTTCAAATGATAAACACATAGCTCGTAAGAAAAGGGACAGGTTCGTGAGAAATCTAATGAGACTGCAGCAACTGGCAGTTGCTTTTTTGTTAGGGGTCAATACAAGAGGAGAGACCGGTTAACTGGTGAAGTTTTTGGACCATTCGTTTGGTTAATTGCGTCAGCTACTGGGTACAGACAGAAGCGTGTGTGCAAGTGAGGTGCGTGTGGTGCAGAGTGGACAGAGATAAACAGAAAGAAGTGAGAGTAAGAAAAAGAGTGCTGGTGAATGATGGGAAGGATGCAGGAAGATAAGAAACAGCATATGGCATGACATGCTTAGCAGCAGGCAGTACAGCGCCGGTGCAGAGAAAAAAAAACAATCCAGGTGTACAAACATTACAGAACTGCAATCACAGCACAAAGCAAAGGGCAGAGAAGACAATAAAGAGGAAGAAGGATGACAAGAAAAAGGGGGTAGGAAATCAACAGCAACAGGCATTACGCTGTAAAAATGGACCGTAAATTAATGTTAAGTGACATTTCTGTACAGAGAAACACGATAAAAACATCACCACAACATACATAAATAAACAACAACAACAACAAAAAACTGAACACACAGACACGGTTACCTTATGTACCGCAAGAGAAAGAGAGAAATAGGCAGAGTGAAAACAAAACAGAAGTAAAAGGTTTGAAGTAGAAAGAATGAGAAAAGGTAGAGGGTGAGAGAATAAGAATGAAAAACAAAACATGAATGAGACAGAGAGAAGAGAGAGATGGTGGAATCAGGGTAGGTGGAATACTATAACAACAGAGTGAATTGTTATATTATTCCACCCACCTTAATGCCGACCCTTTGGGCGTGGCCACACCGTAGCCCTTGGAGTCCAGGTTCCCTCCCACCTTCATAGTGTCACACGGCTTTCTCTGCTCGATGTATTCATTCATTGTGGACTCGAGTAGGAACGCAAACTTCCCCTTCGACTTGCGCACACGAGCCACTCCGTCAGGGGTTGTCTTAACGAACACGGACGGCTCGGCGGACTTCATGTAAGACCACATCTTCTCGTAGACAGCGATCTTTGAACGCTGAAAGCGAGAAAGGACAAAGAGGAAATAAATGGAAAGGTTAAGAGAGAGAGAAATGTGAGTTTCATGACCTTTTACAAATAAAAGGTGTCTGGCTAAAATTTCCTGTCAGCAGGGATGGACAGTGCCTCATTTTGTGACCTATACCAGCCCATCAAAAGCCACCAGGAATAATTCTCCACTATATTATTAGAAAAGTAGCTAAATTTGGTTACATATATGACGTATGCCAGGAGCATTTCTAGCCTTTCATCAGTACTGAGGCACAGGGCCCCCATCAAAAAAGTTTCCCTGTATTTTGATACTTTTTTGATACTACTTTGGGTATAAGGATATAACTTGTCTTTACCTGCCAGTGCTTCTTGTTCACAAGCTGCACACACAATAAGCTGCTTCCTCACTAACACAATAGCAGACAAGTTTCGTTTCATACCATGGAATGTAGGCAAATATCACCTCATCCAGTCTTGTTTTCTGTCATATAAAATATCCTATTATGATGTGAAGAACTGCTGCAAACAAGTCAGTGCGTGAGTGAACTGTCTGAATGAATAAAACTTTTTAGATTACTAGATCTTATTAGATGAATGGCATTCACACATCTGGCATCACTAGTTCTGATTCTAAACGGCAGATGCAAAATATACATGATTGCTGAAATATTGTCTGAAAAAAAGATTCTAGGTCAGAATATATGTATGTGGAAATCTCAATCATCAGGCAAAGATTTATCAGTAAAAAAGGGTCTAGCCATGTGCTACAGTGTTCCATTTAAATGCACATTAAATTTACAACCACCATTTAAATAAAGCACCATTTAAATCAAGAAAGATTGTTACAGATGTCTCACTACACTGACATCCCACCCCAGACACACTGTCAGCTAAAGGTCTCAAACTTGCCTCTCAATCAGTCTTTTGTACAAGATCCTTCAGGGACTTTTTAATCATAGAGACTCCTGGTGCCATGAGACTAAACCGACAACAGCAGAGTATAAAATCTTAGTAGAAAATTAATAGCTCTTCAAATAATCACTGAAAAGGTCCCTCACATTGTCTAGAGCAGTGGTTCCCAACCACATTCCTGGAGGCCCCCAAACACTGCATGTTTTCCATGTCTCCTTAATCAAACACACCTGATTCAGATCATCAGCTCATTAGTAGAGACTCCAAGACCTGAAATGGGTGTGTCAGACAAAGGAGAGATACAAAATATGCAGTGTTGGGGGTCCTCCAGGAACGTGGTTGGGAACCACTGGTCTAGAGGAATGTGAATATATCATAATCAAAATCGAACTTAAAAATCAAGCAGTCGTCATTTACTCCCGACATCTGAGCCGCTGAAGACGCAGTGGATTACCTTTGTGTTTGAAGAGAATGCGCCCCCGATCTACATAAACGCGTCTATGTTCGCGCGAATCATTCTTGATTCAGCCTCATCTACAGAATAAGTGAATATAATGCTTTGTAATGAATCTTTGCAAATCGCCTTTCCTAATAATGTGCTAATTAGCAAGTTTCATGGTGAATGCAGCTAAAGTAAATAGTCTCTCTGAGAGCGGCTCGGAAGAGAGGGGCGGGGTCAGCAGAGCTCATTAACATTTAAAGGGAAAT